CTGAATAAAGACTCTACCATACGTATCACTGCCTTTAGATCATCTCAGTACAGCTTCTTGTTGTTCAACCCGTAATGGCATTTTGAATTCTAGAGCCAGAGGAGGGAGTGTGACTCACTTCTGAAATCACTTTGTTGACAACTCTAACATCTAACCCTCCTGATGTCTGCAAGATTTAACATCTAGGCCTCCCCTCACTTCCACTCTTCTCTGGAAAAAAGAAGAAGAGGGTTACAGTGTTCTCCTGGCCCAATAACTCATGCTCTAGTGATTTAAGACATGTGAACCAAGGCCAACTTCATGCCCATCCTTCTACTCATCTATCATTCATCCTTCAACAGACTTCATAATATGTTGGGATATAGGGATGCAAAAAAGGAGAAAGATCGATATTTTCCTTTCGAAATGTATACCTTCAATTAAAAAAAAAGAGTATGGTAGATTCAGCCAAGAGGATTCAATAATTAACACCTGGGTGAGCTCAGCTGGTTAATTTTCCTTGCTCTATGCTTTTCAGACTAGCTTCCTAGTGAATATCAGTTCCTGGGTTTGCCTAGATTCAAGAACACTTCCGCAGGCATGTGTAATCAGAAAAAGAATATAATAATAATAGGACCAGAGCTACTTGGGATGTAAACCCTCCAGGGTTTAAGTTCTTGAATATGTTCATTTCTTGTTGCTTTACAGTCGTCAAATGTGGAGTGTAGACCTTGTACTTTCTGATATTTTTCCTGTCATAGGGTTTGACCTTGGTACCTGGGTGCTGTCTCTGAGCTCTTTTGATAAAGGCTAGTGCCCTACCACGTTAAGCCACAGCTCCACTTGCAATTTTTGAGTGGTTCATTGGAGTTACCAGTCTTATGGGGACTTGCTTAGCTGGCTTTGAACCATGATCCTCAGATCTCAGCCTATTGAGTAGCTAGGATTATAGGTGTAAGCCACTAGTGTCCAGCTAGATTTTTGTTTTGATGACATTCTAAAAGTCTAGGATCCCTCAAAAATCTGACATTGAAATTTGAGAGCCCTTTGGATGGAGTGGAGGGATCCAGATAGGATCTGAGCCACACTGAGCAGTCTGCGCCATGGGAGAGACCGCACAGACATGACTGGCATGTGCAGGTAGGCTACTAAGCACTTTCATGCCCATTAACTGATTTAATCTTCCTGAGAACCTCCTGGTGAAGTAAACATTGCTACTTCCACCTTCATATGAGGAAGCCAAAGCCCAGAGAGCTCAATAGCTAATTAAGGGTTAAGTGTTTTAAATCAGTTTCCTTATTTAATTTGTACAAGATTTCTATATCTTTTTCTAAGTCCTCCTCGTCTTCCTCCTCCTCCTCTTCCCCCTTGTCCTTCTCCTTCTTTCTTTTTTTTATGTTATAGGTAAGAAATCTGAGGCCCATGGAGGCTAAGTAGATTTCACCCCATTAATCACTAATAGAGCACAAAGTCTTCCTAAAAATCTGACCTATCAATTCACAAGCTTGGGCAGAATCTAAATGTCTACAAAAGCAAGAGATTGACAGAGACAAGTGAAATGACTCAGGCAGAGGGATTGTGTCATATTCTTTTAAACAACATTAGATAAATAGGAACACAAGAAGAATAATACATTAGATAAATAGGAACACAAGTAGAATAATGCAAGGAATTTTCACTTCGAATTGCATTGTCAACACTATCAAGAATGGTGGAGTTTGTGGAATGGAAACCCCTTACCCTATCCAAGGGAAGCAGCTGTCACTCAGGTTGATGGAAGGCAGTTTCATTCATGACAGCTCTTCTGATTTGAGAAGAGTTAGAAGCCTAGAGTCTTATTTTTTTTTGGGGGGGGTCCGGTCATGGGGCCTGAACTCTGGGCCTGGGCACTGTTCCTCAGCTCTTCAGCTCAAGGCTAGCTCTCTACCACTTGAGCCACAGCGCCACTTCTGGCTTTTTTTTCTTTTTGCTTATGTGGTGCTGAGGAATCGAACCCAGGGCCTCATGCATGCTCTACCACTGAGCCACCTTCCCAGCCCCAGAAGTCTAGAGTCTTAAGGAAAATGTTCCTTATGGATAAATGTGAATAATTATTTCTTATTTTTATTATCCTCTCTAAGCACTTGTATAAAGGGTTTTGAAGTCAATAAATCAGTTTATAAGCACTATATTTCTTGATCAGTGCCACCCCTTCCATCATTCTCCCCCATCTTTCCCAACCCCATCCACATCCTTAAATTACATGGTTCCATTGTCACATACATACATTGATTGTCTTTATGATGCAGTCAAAACATACAAGGATATGCATCTTGTCCATATGTGGCTCCATGAATTTCTGTTCTGCACTGTGGGGTCTCCAAGGACTTCTCCAGCATTGTCTATCTTTGCTGCTCTCATAAAATAAAATATTTCATTGTGTGTGCCTATAGATAACATACATGCCTTGATAAAAATAGGCAAGCAAGTAGACAAATACATAGACAGGCTTTGTTCTTATAGATTATGCCCTTGACTTTTCAAAGAGCTAATAGAGACATGCATAAAACAAGAGTCCTCTGGTATCTGATTAAATAAATTATGATTAACCTAAAAATAGTACTATTGTGTGACAGTATTCGAACACCTCCTGCACAGCCAGCACAGGACAGGGATGTAGCAGGTGGCCACTGGGCCTGCTGTGTCTGTAGCTTATGGTATGCATTTATTCTGAATGGATGTTGGGTATTTGGGGTTATCATTCAAATAGTTTTGTATAAAAATAATTGCCTTGAGTTTCATGACAATCACGAAGGGAGTTTTAATTATATCAACTTTGAAGAACATAGTTTAATACCTAGCTTGGTTATAGAGGCCACATAACTGTAAGGAGTCAACTTAGGATATCAGAGTGAGGGTGATTCCACATACTCTTTATTCTATAGAGTTGTCTCTTGGGGTAATTTTAATTGCTTTAAATTGGGAAGTCTTTCATTTTTATTTTATTTTTTTAATTTTATTTTATTTTATTTGTGAACATACTGTAAAGAGGGGTTACAATTGCATGGGCAGGATAATGCGTACATTTCTTACCAAGCATTGCAGCCTCCTCCTTTGTTAACCTTCCCATCCCTTCCCAGCCTCCCCCCTCCCCCCCATCCCAATCCTTCTCCTTCCCCCCTACCCCCCACCCCCTTCTCCGCCCCCCCGCACCGAAAGTCTTTCATTTTTAATCTCTATGTGGTAAGAATCTGAGGCAGGTAGAAAGATAGTGAATAGAATCATCTTTCAGGAGAGAAGGTTCTTTGGCTACTCTTCATCATCCTTATTCCCTGGTCCTCTAGGATGGGGAGCAAGCTGCTAGAGTGAAGAAGGAGGAAAGAAAGAAGAATCCACTCCTTCATAGTTTGGAAGCCTTGACACCAAGGCAAGGCACTCCCAAGTCTGTAGGTGACTGCGAGGACAGACACACAGGGAGGGAACCACACTAGCTAATGGAATGCTAACTGGGGTGATGAGCCAGGTAGATGCCAACTAGCTGCCTCATGTCCTAAGGCAGACCTAGAATCCTTTATATAAAGACAGCTGTCTACCCAGATGCCTCAGCCTGAATGACCGTGTGCCTGCTGAGGAGGGTAAGTCTGGGAGCTGAGTCCTGGGGGTTGAGGTGGTATGATGTTTGCGAGGGGTCCCGGATTCATGGAAGTGAGGCACAGTTCAGTGGGGAGCTGAGGAAGAGTGGGACAGCATCCTGAAGAAAACATCCTGGTGGGCTTTTAAGATACATTGGAAGACTATTTGTAGAGTTTATCAGAAAAAATAGTGCTGGGAAGTCAGTGTGTTTGTCTTTGGTAAACTTGGCCTTCTCCTTCAGGATGTTTTTCCCTTATTGGGACTTGTCTTCCCTGGAAAAGACACATTAGCAATTTATATTTTGTGAGCAGAGTCATCTGAGAGAGGTTGTTTTCCCAAGGGTACATTTATAGATGTTCTCTTCAAATAGAAAATGTATAGCTTTGACCTTCATTGTTCAATATTTTGGAAACTTACTGAGAAGGGTTTTGTTGGTTGAGCCAGTTGTCAAGTCAGCCCCTTGCTGTGCTGGTCATTGTACATGAACAGGTAAACTGGAAGAGGGGAGGGTGTGCCAGATGCTGTGCTTCCCCCCTGACTACATGTGAGATCATCGTTAATGCTTATAGATACCTCAGGCAGGATCTGTAATGTTCCCACTGGGTAGATTCTTATATGGCTAAAATATCAGTCTTGTGATTAAGAATTACATTTTAGGGGCTAACCCTTTCCTGACTCTTAGAAGGGTCAGAAAGGAAAGATTTCTGAAGCCAGCAAACTGTCACACTCTGTATGATTACCAACAGCAGCCTATCCCGACAAGTCACCATGTAGATCCTTTTCCATGATGGCAGTGTTTTGCCTAAGCATATGTTGTGGGTAATTCCCAGGAGGATCTGCTTAGATGAATTCGCCTAAAAAAGGAGCGAATACAAAGGAGCAAGTATTTAATCTTGGGGTTGAGCTGTCCAGCCATGGATCAAATCTCTTACTTTTTAGTGGAAGCTTTGATGTTCTGTGGATATAGACGGTGCTTGTGCCCTTGATCCTATGTGATCATTTGCACATATGTGTACAGACATGCGTGCTGTCGATATGGCTATGCGAGGAAATCCAAGCTCCTGTAGTTTTCAGGTTAGACTACAACATTGGACACACAACCTGTGTACTCTGCTTCCCTCGCAGGAAGGGCGTTTTGCGCTCTCTGGTGGTAGACTCTGGTATGTCCCTCCTGTAGGAAAAGAGGCTAAACATCCCTAAAGCTGGCTATTCAGGATGTCAGACCTATTGGCCCATCTAAGTCAGCAAGGATCCTTGGGAGAAGGCTGAGAGCAGAGGAAGAGTGTCTAGGAAAGACGCCAGATGCCTGCTCCTCGATTCTGACCCCTCCTGACTAACTCACACCCTCTTGAACTCCATCTCTCCACTCCTCACCCCCCAGGTCCCGCTCACCCACCCACACCAGGACCATGTGTGACCAGCAGCAGAGTCAGTGCTGCGTGCCGATGCCCCAGTGCTGCGTCAAGGGTTCCTCCTTTGGCCCCTCCCAATTCTCCAGTGCCAATGGCCAGGTGGTGGTCCAAGCCCCTTGTGAGGTGCGAATTTTAGAATGCCCTGCACCGTGCCCAGTTCAAGTTTCCCAGGCTCCGTGCCAGTCTAAGACCACCCAGGGAAAAGGCCAGGCTCCCTGCAAGACTAAAACCACTCAAGTGAAATGCCAGGCTCCATGCAAGTCTAAGACCCCTACCCAGGTCAAGGGTCAGGCCCCTTGCCAGAGTCAAGTCTCCTGTGTGCAGTGCCAGGCTCCGTGCCAGCCCACCATCTCCTACGTGCAATACGAAGTCCCTCAGCCCGCTCAGACCTGCTATGTAGAATGCGCTCCTGTGTATTACACAGAAACTCGTTACGTGGAGTACCCGATGCACACCACCTACGTACCGGCTCCAGTTCCGCAGGCTGTCCCTGCATACGTGCAATGCTCCCCCATGGGCCAGGCTCCAGGGAACTTCTCCAGCCAGGGCCAGTATGGGGGCTCCTACGGTAGCTGTACCCCTCAGTTCCCATCTCGGGCTTCCTACAGCAGCTGCGGGCCCCAATTCCAGCCCCAGCGCCAGTCCCAGCCTTCCTACAACAGCTGCGGGCCCCAATTCCAGCCCCAGCGCCAGTCCCAGCCTTCCTACAGCAGCTGCGGGCCCCAATTCCAATCGCGACCTTCCTACAGCAGCTGCGCACCCCAGCGTCCATCTCGACCTTCTTTTAGCTCCTGTGCACCCCAATACCAGAGCCAGGGCTCCTACGGGAGCTTCACCGGGCAGCGTCGGTCTCGGAGCACCGGCCGATGCCTCCCAGCGCCGCGAAGGCTGCAGCCTCCCTACCGCAGCTGCTCCCCGCCGCTCTGCCGCCCCGAGCCCGGCTACGGCAGTTGCCTCGCGCCACGGTGCTCGTCGGGCTCCCCCAACTACTGCACCCCGCCCCGCCGCTCGGAACCCATCCACGCCAGCCAGTGCCCCCCTCGGGGCCGCCCTTCCTGCGCGCAGAGGTGCGGGCCCAGGTGCAGAATTGAGATCTCCTCGCCCTGCTGTCCCCGGCAGGTGTCCCCGCAGCGCTGTCCCGTGCGCATTCCCCCATTCCGAGGCTCCTCTCAGAGCTGCGCCCCGCGGTCCTCCTGGGGCACCTCCTGCCCGGACCTCAGGCCACGCCCGCTCCCCCGGTCCTGCCCCCCTCCGCAGTGTCGGGAGCCGCCGGCGCCCAGATACCCGCCGCGCGCGCCACGGCCCTGCCCACGCCCGGAACCGCGCCCGTGCCCCCCACTACGGCGATTCTCAGAGCCCAGTCTGGGGCCGGAGCCGTGTGCAGCTCCGCGCCCAGCTCCACGGCCGCGCCCCATGCCGTGCGAGAACCCAGAGCCCCCGAGACCGTGCCCGCAGCACTTCGAGCCCCCGGAGCCCCCGCGACCATGCCCGCAGCACTTCGAGCCCCCGGAGCCCTGTTCTCCTTCCCGGCCCATCCCGCTCCCAGCGCCGCCCTGCTCGAGCTCGGAGCCCTGCGGCGGAGAGCCTGTCCTCCGCTGCCCCAGCCCCTGCTCCGGCTCGAATCCCAGGCCGTACCCAGGAGACCTAGGCTGTCATGAGTCCAATCCATGTCGCCTGGACACTGAAGGCCCCTGCTCGTACAGTTACAACCAGGGACAGGAGGGCGGTTCTGGCTGCGGATCTGGAGACGTCTTCCCAGAACCCCAGGGTCCTGGGGGCTGTGGAGACCAAGACAGCAGCTACTCTGGGGTGAATGGAGGGGGTTACTCTGGGGTGAAAGGCGGGGGCTTCTCTGGGGTGAGTGGAGGGGGTTACTCTGGGGTGAAAGGCGGGGGCTTCTCTGGGGTGAAGAGTGCGTATTTTTAAAGGAGCTGTGGATGGATGGGGGCCCTGCCCCCTGCTCTGGAAATATTGTTCTTCTAGCAGCCACAGCTCCCAGAGCGTGCTTGGTAACATTTCTGCAAAATATTTAGAGGCTCTCCGCCTGAACCCCTTTGCATATATCTCTCAGCCTCCGCACACCTGTGTATCAGACATCACCGCAGTCTCTCCTATGCGACTCCTCCTTTCTGCACCATCTTGGATTCTAGCCAGACAAGCCTGGGTGCTGCTAGGGTGTTTCTTGGGTGTTGCTCAGAACATTCCTTAGCTGTCCTTCCTTCCTTTCTTCCAAGGCTCTGCTCTAAGTCTGCTTGGATTATTTCTCTCCTGTTCTCTTGCATCTAAAATCCAGCCCATGCTTCGGTACCTTTTTCTCGGAGCGTGTTCTTCTGTTTTTGTGTCTGCTGCTCTGGTCTGTTCTCACGCTCAGGAGTCTGTGCTGACCTAGAATTCATTGTATCAACTTACATCACCCATTGGGCGTCTGCTTTGCCACCTCGCTTGCCTTGTTGCTTCACTTTTCAGGCATGTCTGTCTGTTCTGTCTGAACTGTAAACTCCCATCAAAATGGATCAGAGAATCCCTGAATTTTTGTGCCTGTCTTGAGACAAGTTCTCTTCCGATGACCAACTGTAGGAACTTAAGCAAAAGGAGATGTGTGACAATAAAGACATGATATACTCACAGCCTGAGTCCTGAGTAATACCTGCTCTTTATTCCTTCCTGACTTGGTGAGGTTTGTGTGTGTGTGTGTGTGTGTGTGTGTGTGTGTGTGTGTGTGTTGCTGAGGACTGAATTCAGGGCCTTGCACTTGCTAGGCAAGTGCTTTTCCATTTGAGACACACCCAATCTGAGTGATTTTTTAAATTGTGATAAAATATATGCAATGTAAAATTGATCATTTAACCATTTTTTGTGTGTAGAATGGAATGATTGAGCTACCATCACTGCTATCCATGTACAAAATTCCTTTTATCATGGAGAACACAAACTCAGCACATCATAAACAATAGCATTGAATCCCTTACTTCCTTGAAACCCCTCAAAAGTACTAATCTACTTTCTAGCTCTATACATTTGACTGCACTGTTCTTATATCTACAAACAGACTGGCCTAATTCACTTACCATAATATTCTCCAGGGTCATCTTTGTTGTAGCCTGTGATTTAATGTTTATTCTTTTCTAGGATGCCTAATATTCCATTGCATATGTGTACATCAGACTTTATTAGTTCAGCAGTGAATGGGTAGACACTTGGCCTCCCACAGTTTGGCTACAGTTAATACTAGAAAACCAGAGATTGTTATGAGAAAAGAGGCATTTCTTCTAATAAGAGAAACACTGACTGCACAAGTTCATTTATTCAGACAAGAACATTTGTGGGTTGTCCTGGGGGAATAGACACTAATTATCAGGATGAGTAGCCTGCATATGCAGAGTAACTGGTTGCTGGTAGAAGGAAATAGTATTTTGGTATGCCTGATACCACCCCCCACCACCACCATGGCCTAGTGCTCCTCCACTCCCATGAGGATTGCTTCTGTGCAATCTATGGTTTTGTTTGTGTGTGCATCTATGTGCTTTCAAAACTCAGTACCTTCTTTTATTTTATTCTCAGTACTGGGTTGAATTGAGGGCCTTATGCTTACAAAGCAGGCACCGTAGCACTTGGCAATGCTCCTAGCCCCTTTATGCATTTATGCTGCTGATAGAATCATACTCTATACCAGGGCTAATCTACACTGTGACCTTCCTATTTGTATTTCCACGTATCACTGGGGGTGATAGGTATATACCATTGCTCCCCTGCCATTGGTTGAGTTTGGGTTATCACAAACTTACTTTTTGCCCAAGCTAATTATGAACTGCAATTCCCAGTCTTGGATTCTCAAGTAGCAAGATTTGGGGTCACTGCATCTGGGCACCACAGCTTAGGGCCTTTAAAACATGTTTGACCATTGGGTCTGTGACATCAGGAACATTTTATAGGATCTAACCATCCTTCAACACTAGCTTACATGACACTTACTGGTCATCTCTTCTGTTCTCCACCCTCCAGCATTTTCCTGATGACTTACTTCTCTGCTCCTTATCCTTATCTTCTGCATGAACTAGCTGAACAAAATGTGCACTGTCTGCAGAGAAGGACTTAGGACTCAAAAGTACAAGTAAAACCATTATAATGAAGACCTGCTAGGAGACTTGCCCTTGAATCTCACATTACTGCTAACAGGTGGCAGATAATTTTTCTGTTAGGAAAGTTTGATGGACAGTTGGCCATGAATGCATTCATTGCTCAAGCTCCAAGCAGTACAAGGCAGACATCAGGTCAGATTCCTATGGCTGATGTTCAGTCATGGTGTCTTGGAGCAAGGGTCTGGCATCCACATCCAAGTGAAAGTAAGAAAGATTGGCCTTAAAGATCATACCTCCACTTTGGAACCCTCCGAAATTCTCTATCCTATTTCTCTTTTTAAACCTACTTTCCTCTTCATTACAGAATAAATAGATTGCATCAGATGTTCTCGGAGGACCTGCCTGACTAGGTCTAAAACCCTTCTTTGGAGCAGATTATTATGAAAGAGTGAAATGATTTCGGTTACTCAACTGAAAACTCAGAATCTCAGAGATTCATTCCAGGCTGACTAAATTTGGATTCAATAGGACTTATAATCCTAGCTACTCAGGAGGCTGAGATCTGAGGATTGCAGTTTAAAGCCAGCCAAGGCAGGAAAGTCCAATTAACACCAGAAAACCAGAAGTGGCACTGTGGCTCAAGTGGTAGAGAGTTCGCTTTGAGCTGAAGAGCTCAGGGACAGAGCCCAGGCCCAGAGTTCAAGCCCCATGATGGACACCCCCCCTCCAAAAAATAATTCTGACAATCTGGAGGTAAAAACTATTGCTTTAATGAGTACCTAAGTATAAAGGCTTACTTAGTACAAAGTTGACTTTGGTCTTAGCATGGATAGGATGTGGACATGGTGGCAAAAATAGAACTGTTGTGGGAGGTTTTATGTAATGGTGTGTGAAGCCAAACATTCCATTCACTAGTCAAGAAGTAAGACCAAAGAGTTTCCTCCTCTGTGTTCATAAACCCATCAACCTCCCTGTAAGTAAAGCACTCATATTATATCTCATGAAGTGGGGCCCATCATAGTTTAAAGATGAAAGGGAAACAGGAACCCAGCCATGAACATCTATTCTTCACCAAACTATATAAGGGAGAAATTCCATATCCCACAATTTATTCTGCAGATTAAAATAGCTTTGGATGGATAACCAAATAGAAGTGCCAAGAGTCAGGGAATAGCTCAGTTGTTTATACTCAAACGCACAGGTCAGTAGTTCTAGTCATCTGAAAGACAGGCAGTATGCAGCTGGAAACTTTGTAGATGTGGAGGAGAATAGCTATGTGGTAAGCTGTACTTGATCCCTAGTCATAGAGTAGCTCTGAATTCTGGCATAGCAAGACAGCTTAGAGGATCCACAGAGCTGTGACTGAGACTGCACAGAAAGAAAGGGCCAGGCTTAATGACCTTTGTGCTTCCCATTGCCCAGGAACATCCAGCTCATTCTCCCAAAAGATGAAGCTTCCTGATATGAAAGGTGAAACTAGAATTTAGAAGACTGGAAAAAATTCAAAGATGTGCCAAATCCACGCCTCATCCCCATCATCAGATCTTGTCATAAGAATCCTGAGCCAGTTTAGCATCCTTCTGCTATTTCCTAGAGTTATATTCATCAGGGAGAAAAAAATCACTCAGTACCATGCACCAACACATTGTTTACTTGGCAAATATTTATTGGACCTCTGCTATCTGCCAGGAACTGTGATTGGTCTTTGATGTACAATCGTAAGAGTGTCAGACATGGGAGGTACAAGGTGATTGGTCAAGAGCCCAGGAAGCAACTATGACAAGTCAGAGATACAAAAGATGAGTGGGGATGAGGTGATCGATGGAGGAAGGAGGAGACTGTTCCAGGAAGAGGTAGCAGACTTAATGACATTCTGCCAACATGAATGACGATTTCAGGCAGTCCAAGGAGGAACAACCTTTGACTAAAGGATGTTTAAACATCTCTTGGTTATGGATGTTTAACCATTAGCTAAACACCTTTCTTGTTGCCTAACACTGTATGAATTTTTCTTTTGGTCGTACTGGGGATTAAATTCAAGATTTCTCACTCTACCACTTGAGCCATGTCTTTAGTCCTTTTGCTTTTGATTTGTTTTTCAGGTAGATCTCATGCTTTTGTCTGGGCCAGCCTCAGGCCATAATCCATCTGCCTCTGTCTCTTGAGAAGATAGGATTATAGAAGTATGCCACCATATTCAGCTAAGTTTTGAGACAGGGTATTGCTAACTTTTTTGGGTCCAATCTGACACCCTATTTCTACCTTCCAAGTAACTGAGATTACTGGGATATACCACTGTACCCAGCCTCATAGAAATATTATTTTTTTCTTTTCACATTTTTTGTCAAGGTGATATACAGAGAGGTTACAGCTACATAAATAAGGTAGTGGGTACATTTTTGTCATATTTGTTACCCTCCTCTCATTTTTCTCCTACTTTACCTCCCCCACCCTCCTCTCCAAGTTGTACAGATCATTTCCAACATATTGTCTTGTGCATATTGCTGTTGCATTGGTTCCCCCCTTGCCCTTTGACTCACCATTCTGTTGTTCCCCTTCCCTTCCATAATTCAGATAAACTCATCATATTTGATTTTGGTGCCCTCATAGAAATATGCTTATGTATCACAACTTCATCCTCCATCCTGTTCCACTGAACTTTTTAAAAAAAATCAACACTTCAAAGAAAGACTTGAAAAGAAAACAGTCTACCTTTTGAGTGACTTCAAGTCACACAGAGAGAGAATTGAACTGCAAACTTCTGATTCATCATGGTTTATCATGAAATTGATGTGATAACATCTAATATGATATAGATGGCAGTAAAGTTCAGCATTTATAATATAG